AGCCTCCTAAACTGTGAGAAAATAAATTTCTGTTTGTTAAAGCCACCCACTGGTGGTATTTCTGTTTTAGCAGCACTAGATAACTAAGACAAATACACAAACCTAGGTGCTACTGGTGACCATGTTTTCTGCCACAGGGATGGGGGAAGCACAGAAAGTCAGGATGCAAAGGGAAAGAAAGAAGAAAGTCACAGTCACCCAGAGAGGGGCAGAGGTAAGAAATGGGGAGTACTCTTGATATTTATGAGCCAGCTACAATTCTGTGTCTGGTTTCTGTGACACATCTCTGTATCCTTATAATAAGTTCATCTTCTTATTTGTTTATTTAAGCAAGCTTTAGTGAATTCCTATTGCTTGTGTCCCAGGTCCTATGGAATCTATGCCTCTTACTAGATTATATGGAGCCCTGGTAGTGCAGTTGTTAAGAGCTCGGCTGTTAACCAAAAAGTTGGAGGTTCGAATCCACCAGCTGTTCCTTGGAAACCCTATGGAGCAGTTCTACTCTGTCCTATAGAATGGCTATGAGTTGGAATCAACTTGATGGCAATGGGTTTGAGTTTGGTTTTTTACCAGATTATATGCTCACTGGGGATAGGGATTCTGTGTTATAGCCACCCTAGAAAGTGCACAGCTCCAAAATGTACCTTACACACATTAGATGCCAAAAGGTAATTCTTTGGATTTAATGAATAAAAATAACTGCTCAAATATAGTAGGCATTCATAATGTGCCAGACATTGTCCTAAGCACTTACATGTATGCATCCATTTAATCCTCACACTTGTCCAGATGAGAAAATTGAGGTAGACAAAGATTAAATAACTTGCACAATATAACATAGTAAGTAGCACAGCCAGGCTTCAAACCCAGGCAGCCTGGTTCTGCAGCCTGGGCTTTTGACTGTTGCACTTCACGGCCTCTACCATACAGCTGAATGAGGCATTCAAAGGGTTATATCTGGGAATTTTAAGGGCCTAAAAATAACCCAAGGGGCCCTGTGGTACAGTGGTTAAAACACTTGGCTACTAACCAAAAGATCAGTGATTCTAACCCACCAGCTGCTCTGTGGGGGAAAGATACGGCAGTTTGTTTCCATAAAGATTTACAGCTTTGGAAACCCTATGGGGCAGTTCTATGTTGTCCTATAGGGTCACTATGGGTTGGAATCGACTTGATGGCAGTGGGTTTTTTTGTTTGCTTGTTTGTTTTGTTATGTTTTAAAAATAACCCAAGAGGCATTGGTAGTTTAGTGGTAGAATTCTTACCTTCCGTGCAGGAGACACAGGTTTGATTCCTGGCCAATACACCTCATGTACAGCCGACACCCATCTGTCATTGGTGGATTGCATGGTGCTATGATGCTATGGGCAGTTCTACTCTGTTCTATAGGGTTGCTATGAGTCAGAATTGACTTGACAGCAATGGGTTTGGTTTTGGTTTATTATGCCAAACAGGTTTCAGTGGAGCTTTTGGACTAAATTGGACTAGGAAGAAAGGGCTGGTGATCTCCTTCTGAAAATCAGCCAGTAAAAACCCTATGAATCACAATGACCTAATTCGCAACCAATCATGCGGGTGGCGCAGGACCTGGCACAGTTTCATTCCATTGTGCATGTGGTTGCCTTGAGTCAGGGGTTGACTCAACAGCAGGTAACAATAACAACAACAAAAATAACCCATTTAAAGATAAAAGCAAGTTTACATTGAAGGAAAAGGTCATTTCATGGTGATCTAAATTTATGCCCTTGGAATCATTTAGCAGGAATTATGACCAAACACCTAGCCATGTCCCCAGACAGCATTAAAGCAATCCAGCGTACTTACGTCTCCTGCACTAATTAGGAACTTCTTTATGTGGAGGAAACATGAAAAGAAAAGAGCCCTGTTAATGAGTTCAGGTCAGTAAATAGTGATAATGATCTAGTTATTAAGTCTAATGCTTTAAATATTCAGTCCCATCATGTTTAAGATACTTCACTAGAGAGATCATAATGAGAAATTAAAAAAAAAAGAGTTGTTTCTTGTGTGTGGAGGAAAAAAAATGTTCAAGACAGGATCTCTGAGCACTAAATATATGAAGAAAGGGAATTAGTATCCTGGAAGATGCTCTGACCCAAAGGTGACAAAGCCCCAGGATTGAGTTGTTGCCCAAATGGAAAGAAAGATACCTAGACAAAAGAAACACTCAGGCTTGGATATACAAGTTAGAAGTTCATTGTAAAAAAAAAAAAAAAAAGAAGGAAAGAAAGGAAAAGTTTTAGAACTAGACTGTGGTGATGGTTGCACAACACTGTGGATATAACTAATGCCACTGAATGATACACTTAAAAATAGTTAAAATATATGTTATATATATTTACCATGATAAAAAATAAACAAACAAAAAGAAGATCATCTTGTTCATATCTGGATGAAGAAATACAACCAGAATGCTGCTCAGAAGCGAGGATGGCGAGGCTTCAGCTCGCTTACTTTGCACACGTCATCAGGAAGACCAAACTCTAGAAAAGGGCATCATGTTTGGTAAAGTACAGGGTCAGTTAAAATGACGGAAACCCTCAGTGAGATGGAGTGACACAATACCCACACAATGGACTCAAACATACCAACGATCATTAAGATGGTGCAGGACTGGGCAGTGTTTCATTCTGTTATATATAAGGTCGCTATGAGTTGGAGCTGACTCAGTGGCAACTAACAATAACAACAGAGTTAATTTCCAGTCATAGTTTATGAACAATTACAGAAGATAGATGCCTGGGTTGCAGATAGCAGATCTCTGTTGGATTGAGTATGGAGACCTGGGGTAGGAGGGAGGAAAGTGTACTCTTCTGTATTTAGCTTTCTGAAAACGTCAACACAGTGGAAATGAACACAGAGGTATTCAAGACACTTGTCTTTCAAGATAGCATGATGGCCTTCCTGGTAGAATCTTAAAGAGCAGTCATTGTTGAAGAGTCTTGTAGCTCATGTAGTAACTTTGGTAATTTAATGCAATTTCAATATTGCATGCAAAGGCATCAGGGCTCAAAGAAAGTCAATGTTGTTAAGTAAGGCTGTCTTATCCACTTCACCAAACACATGGGCAATACCTATATATATATGTATATATATTCTCACTTGGTGTCTCTGTCTGTTTGCCTCTCTCTTTCACACACACACACAAACACATCAGTAATTCACCTACTGTCTTAGTCATCTAGTGCTGCCATAACAGAAATACCACAAGTGGATGGTTTTAATGAAGAGAAATTTATTTCCTCACAGTCAAAGTAGGCTAAAAGTCCAAATTTAGGGCGTCAGCTCCAGGGGAAGCCTTTTTCTCTCTCTGTCGGCCTTCTCATCAATGTTCCCCCGGACTAGGAGCTTCTCGGCGCAGGGAACCCAGTCCAAAGGACGCACGCACTCTGCTCCTGGCATTGCTTTCTTGGTGGTATGAGGTCCCCCTGTCTCACTGCTCACTTCTGTCTTTTCTATCTCAAGACATTGCCTCAGGATACAATCCAATCTTGTAGACTGAGTCCTCACTTACTAACACAACTGTCGCCCATCTTCCCTCATTAACATCATAGAGGCAGGATTTACAACATATAGGAAAACCACACAATACCAGGAATCATGGCCCGGCCAAATTGATACACACATTTTTGGGGGGACATAATTCAAACCATGACACCTACAATATAGAACACCATTCTCAGAATCACTTAATTCTCTGCATAAGTTAAACTTTGACTTCAAAAACATTTTGGCATAAACAGTTTTTGACGTGATGTCTTTGTAAATGCTGCA